CCTACAGAATGGGAGAAAATATTTGCTAATTACTTTTCTGACAGAGGATTAATATCTAGAATATATAAAGAACTCAAAAAACTTAACAAAAAAAAATAATATCACTAAACAATAAACTAAAACAAACTTCTCAATAGAAAAAATACAAATGACCAACAAATACATGAATAAAAGTGTTCAACATCATTAGCAATTAGAGAAATGTAAATCAAAACTACCCTGAGATTTCATCTCCAGTTAGGATGGCAGTCATCAAGAACACAAACAATAACAAATGCTGGAGAAGATGTGGAGAAAGAGGAACATTTTTACTCTGTTGGTACGATTGTAAATTAGTATAGGCCATTATGGAAATCAGTATGAAGGTTCCCAAAAGACTAGAAATGGAACCACCATATGACCCAGTTATATTCCTTGGCATTTATCCTAAAGAATTAAAGTCATCATACTATAGCAATACATGCATACCCATGTTTATAACAGCACAATTCACAATAGCCAAACTATGGAACCAGCCTAAGCGTTTTATCAACAGATGGATAAAGACAATGTGGTATACATACACAATGGAATTTTATTCAGCCATAAAGAAAAATGAAATTATGTCATTTGCAGGAAAATGAATGGAACTTGAGACATGATGTTAAATGGAATAAGCCAAACTCAGAGAGTCAAGGGTTGTATGGTCTCTCATGTGTGGAAGCTAGGGAGGAAAACAAGAAAAGAAAGTGTGTGGGGGGCATGAATCTCATGAAAATCAAAGGAAGATCAGTAGAGTTAAGGGACCAGGTGGAGAGAAGAAGTGAGAGAAAGGGAAATACTGGGGAATAATATTGGCTAAATTATAGTATTATATTGTGTGCATGTACAAATATGTAACAAATCCCACCATTATGTACAACTACAAAATATCGATTTAAAAATATGGGAGGCTAGGCATGGTGGCACACACCCGTAATCTCAGTGACTTGGGAGGCTGAAGCAGGAGGACTGAAGGTTCAAAAATCAGCCTCAGCAACTTAGGGAGGCCCTAAGCAATTTAGAGAGACCCTATCTCAAAATAAAAAGGGCTAGGGATGTGGCTCAGTAGTGAAGCACCCCTAGGTTTAATCCCTAGTACTTACTAAATAAATAAACAATTCATTGCACTGCTCACCACTGGTAAACAAGAAGAAAAAAAAAAATCCTCCAGCAAACACAACATCAGGGTCTTTCTTCTGGCACACAACTGAATTCTGTAAGATCTGAGTTTGAGTTTTCACTATCTTCCAAGAGATTCTCAGATCTAAATCTACCATATCTCCAATTTCAGTGACCCATTTTTAATTTCATTAAAATTAAATTAATTCGTTCAATTCTATAGCTATCCTTTGGTATGCTAAAAGTATTTTCTTTGACCCCCTTTACCCAATGCCCTTTGCAAACCATTACTCTTCTACCTGCCAATAAAAACCTCTTTTCCTTTGCCACCTTGCTGCACTATACTTCAGCTTTCAGCATAGCTGTCATCTCCAACTTACTCATCATTCCTCCTACTTTATGGGTGGCTTTGACATCTGGCTTTTAAAGTTTCCCCTCATCTCAAGCCCTATCTCTTTTTTTAAAAAAACAAAAATCAAAAGCAATTTATTTACAAAATTTCTTACTTGACCAGGAGTGAGAACCAAGAAACAATATATCAACAATACACAAAAACCTCACCAATAGTCTTTAAGTCAATTTATACAAGGCAACAACAAAAGTAGCTCTTGACTACTGGGCTAGAAAGATGTCCTTCTGAGAATCCTTCAATTTCACAAGAACATACATTTAACCAAAGGGGTCTATGCACGTAGCACTGTGATACTTATAGGCTCAGCTGAGTGGCAGCCTCTAGAGTGCTGTTCCCTGTCTACCTTACACAGATGTCAAGCCCTATCTCAGGAGTAAAAGGGTTAAAAGGACAGACTCTGGATAGTATCAGATTGCCCAGGTTCAAGTCTTGGTTCCACCATATGCCAGTTGAGTTGCCTTGCTATGTTCCTTAACCTTTCTTTTCCTGAGCTTCCTCATTCATAAAATAGGAATAATAATAATAATAGCAATATTATTTGTTATTTGTGTTAAGAGTTAATACACTGCACTGCTCACCACTAGTAAACAAGAAGAAAAAAAAATTCTTCAGCAAACACAACATCAGGGTCTGGGTGTGGTGGTGCACCTCTATAATCCCACCTACTTGGGAGGTTGATGCAGGAGGATCACAAGTTCAAGGCCAGGCTTAGCAAATTGGCAAGATTCTGCCTCAATAATAAGACCCTCCTGGGAATGTAGCTCAGTAGCAGAATGGCCCTGGGTTCAATCCCCACTACCACCCAAAGAAAAAAAAAAGAGTTAACACATGTAAATGGCATCTGGCACACAGTAAGTGCTTAGTAAACATCAGCTGTTACAGCTATCATCAACACCATCATCATTTTTAAAGACCATCTCAATATCCTCATGGATAACTAATTTAACATGTTCTTTGAGCTTCTGGACTTCTTTGAGCTCCTTGTTTCCACTCCACTCTATCTCAGAAGAGGATTATCTCAGCAATCCTCTTCCATCAGCAGAACTTCTCCACCCCAAAATCTTCAATTCAAAAAAGCACATACTCAAGCCAGGTGTGGTGGCGCAGGCCTACAATCCCGGTGGCTCAGGAGGCTCAGACAGGAGGATCATGAGTTCAAAGCCAGCCTCAACAAAAGCGAGGTGCTAAGCAACTCAGTGGGACCCTATCTCTAAAAAAAATACAAAATAGGGCTGGAATGTGACTCAGTTGTCAAGTGCCCCTGAGTTCAATCCCCAGTACCAAAAAAAAAAAAGCCCATATTCTGACCTACCACCTGTCCTACCAGGACTCACAGTTACCAGTTCCCCTACATCCTCTTCCCAGCATGTAAATATCTAAATGCCAAACTTCCCTATTTTTACCTCTATCAGTCCCCTCCTATCTTTGCCTCTTTCCATATCTTCTTATTCTCTCTCTCCCATTCACTCTTTTGACAACAACCTTAATTTCCATGCTCCAATTTCTTTCCGCACAAATCACCTAGCAAATTTCCTATTCTGAATAAGTTAAGCTCAGTTTTTTCTTGATAGGGTTGCTGAGAGTTATTGAGGAGACTCACACAACTGTAAAGATCAGTGCCACCATCATAAATGCATGATTTCCATCTTCAAGACTACCCAACAATCTTCCTTTTTCCTTATCTAGTATGCCATCTTCTATCCTTCACAATGGCTATTTCACACCTTAGTCAGTCTATTAGATTTCTGCTAAACGCTCATATAATCCACATCAAGCATACATTATTATTTAACTATTAAAAACATAATGTCTGAGGGGCTACTGTTGGAGCTCAATGTTAGAGCACTTGCCTAGCATGTGTGAGGCACTGGGTTTGATCCTCAGCACCACATAAAAATAAATAAATAAAACAAAGGTATTGTGTCCAACTACAACTTAAAAAGTTAAAATAATAATAATAATAATAATGTCTGAATTCCTTGCCAGAGTATAAGTTCTGCTGGGACAGTTGTCAAATATTCTTTATTTACTATAATATTCTTAGCACCCAGCTCAGCATACTACCCAGCACTTGGCAAATGCATAAGAAATAATTGCTGGCTGAGCCTTTACATAGACTATGGATCTGTACAGAATGCTTTTTACTACTTTATCCCCCTAGTGCAATCGTATACATCCTTCAAGAAATATTGGTAATCTCTATCAAATCCTACTTGCATATACATACCACCTGCCTGCTCAACTGAATCACTTCCTCTTTGTGTTCTCACTGTATTATATACATAAATAACAATTACTATTAACGTAATAGTTATACACTATCATAAATACCTAGCTTTGAGTCTCAGGCTCCACTAGACTATAAATGACCTGAGGGCATGGACCATGTCTGGTTTACTTCTGTACTTCCAGTGCTTAGAAAAGTACCTGACAGTGATAGTAGGTTTCCAAAAATGTCTATGGCTATTAAACCAAAGACTTATATACTCTACTACTGTACTGAAAGAGTTTTTTCCTTACTATAAAACTGAATTCCAATTCTAGTTATGCTAATGATTAGCTGCATGGTCACCAGTAATTGTTCAAACTCACTGGGCCTCAGTTTCCTCACTAGTAAAACAGGGCTAATAATACCTACTTGGAAATATTGCTATGAAAATAAAACAAAATGACATAGTACAACAATTAGCACACACAGCGCCTGGTATATAGTAGCCTCCCCACATTGGCTTCAACTTGATGGAGACAACTAGGACAAAACAAATACAAAAATAAGTCACAGTAATCAAGGGAGACTAAGCATTGAGTGAGTCATTCCTTTTAATCATTTGCCCAGGAAGATCAACAATGAAGAAATATAATAAGCAGAATAAACTTTCCTGGTGGTATGTCCCTTGGCAATATGCAGCTTGGTAAGAATTCACCCCAGAGACAACTTGGCTAATGGCCACATTCAGCTTCCCAATCCAGCAGGTCAGATCCTAGGCTGCAGTACCAGGCATAGTTAATTCAGACTGGAATAAAAACTTATCTCATAAGAAATGTGTTTTACAGGGGAAGACAGAGGAGAACCTAACTACAAATACATCAATCAACTGTTTTGCAATCTGGCAGAAAACACCACAGAAGCATTGTAGAGACTAACACCCACACAACTACTTACCTACAGCCAAGAACCAGATTAGATCAGATAATAAGCAGCTTTCTGCTTTTACCAAAAAAAAAAAAAAAAAAAAAATACCAATGGTCAGACTTGCATGAAGTGAACATTTCAAAAGTCACATTATCCTCGTACATCTGGGCAATACCAATGAAGATGGCACCTTGTAACTTTACACATATGTTCCTCAGCCTGTGAGCACTGCCCACCACCTCAGCCTCACTACTTATATGTGGAAATGAAACAGCAGATTGAAGTTTCTCTGCTTCTTATTCGTAATATGCTTACCTCTGCCAAGCCACTGGCACTCAGAACACCTAGTTCGCTGGAGTCGTTCTCTTTAGAATGCTGTGCTACAATAGGTGGAAGGACTTCTCTGGAAATATCTCTTTTCTGAAGCTTCCTGATTAAGCTCTGTTGGTCACTGGAAAATACAGCAGATCTGAATGGAGCTCTGGATGGGCTCAGTCTCCTCCAAGAGGCTTCCTCCAGAATATGTGGTATATCCTCTTCAGATAGAAAGCCCAAATCATCTGCAGCTTGGAATTTTTTTAAAAATACCAGCATGGAATTAGAAGAGTCTGTCCTAAAAGGCTGGCAGCTCTGGGGCTTGCTGCAGTCAGCCTGAATGCATATCCCTTCTAGCCACCAAAGAGCATGGCAGGCCGAGTCCTGACAGCAGGCAGCCCAACATGAATGGAGAGACGGGGTTCCTTTAAGAAGCCAGAAGTGATTTTCTCTCCCAGTTCTCAGGCCAACTCCAAATTGTGTCTTCCCCTGGTGGCACCTGCTTTCAACAGCATCTAAAAACAAAGAATGAAAACATTTTAGGATGAATCAAAAACAATCTACTACTCCATAAAAAGCTCTGAACTGACCAACATTCAAGGATATTTTGAAGACAGGTTTTTAATAGGGTGAGAAAACTGTCAAGTAAGTGGAAGAGAGGACGGAAACACAGTGTTTTTTGGCTCAGGAGATTTTAGCTTGTAGGAGAACTGTTCCACATTCATCAATGGCCAATGGCTCCCCATCTCAATGAGTTCCTGCCTCATACAGTCTTATGCAGAATTCCAGTTTACGAAACAGAAAAAAGACGAAAGTTTAAAAAGCACCATTCTCATGGAAATACAAGGAACTAGGACTGAGGTTAAAAGCTCAGTGGCAGAGCACTTGCCTAGCACATGAGGCACTGGGTTTGATCCTCGGCACTGCATAAAAATAAATAAGTAGGTATTAAAAGAAAGAAATTCAGAGTTTTGAAGATGGCGGCGAGGGGAGTGCATTACCCCCGTGTGCTGCTTCACTGTGTGGGAGTGTGACAAGTCAGGACGGCTGAAGGATATCTTGTTGGGAATTTCCAGCAATAGTGGGGTGCGCCGGAACCTGGAGGAAGGATTTCCATCGCATGAGGATCGGCTACGGGGACTCAAACGCGAGAGGTTTGTCGCACGGAGGGTAAAACTGCTTATTCAGCGAATCGCCCCGCGGCTGGAGTCTGCAAGGCGCGCTGGGATAGAGACGCAGGGTTACAGCGCTGCAGTTTCTGCCAGACGCGCAAGCACCGCACTCAGGGCTGAATTCTGGGTTCGAGACGGGGAAGGAAGCGGTCCATCTCGGTTCTCCACACCGGTCAGACCACAGAGGAGGCCAGCAGCCACCATGTTGGTAAACTGACGTCACCACACCTGTTTTTGACTGACCGCAGCTCATTCAGCCATAGAACAGGTAATTTCAGGCTGCAATTCGCCTGCGGCTTGCAGACAGATTGCTAGGGTTCAGCGCCTGGGGGCTTCTTAAAATCTGATCTTATCGGAGTGAACACGGAGCGCGGGGCGGCCGAGTCCCGGCTCCCGGAGCCGTCCCGGAACCGCCCTGGCTCCGGGCTGCGGAGCCTGCGGAGGCTGCTTCTTGGACCCTGCTAATATCAGAGCAAACACGAAACACCAAGAGGCCGAGTTCCGGCTCCCGGAACTGAGCCCGCGGGGACTGCTTCTTGGAGCTTACACTTGTAGGAGCTTACACCGAGCACAGAGCGGCCGAGTTCCGGCTCCCGGAACCGTCCCGGAACCGCCCTGGCTCCGGGCTGCGGAGCCTGCGGAGGCTGCTTCTTGGACCCTGCTAATATCAGAGCAAACACGAAACACCAAGAGGCCGAGTTCCGGCTCCCGGAACTGAGCCCGCGGGGACTGCTTCTTGGAGCTTACACTTGTAGGAGCTTACACCGAGCACAGAGCGGCCGAGTTCCGGCTCCCGGAACCGTCCCGGAACCGCCCTGGCTCAGGGCTGCGGAGCCCGCGGAGGCTGCTTCTTGGACCCTGCTACTATCAGAGCATACACCAAACACTAGGCGGCCGAATTCCGGCTCCCGGAACTGAGCCCGCGGGGGCTGCTTCTTGGAGCCTACACTTATAGGAGCTTACACCGAGCACGGAGCGGCCGAGTTCCGGCTCCCGGAACTTCCCTGGACCGGGGCTGGGAGCCCACGGAAACTGTGTCTCGGTCCGGGTCCTGCTGAGGGCAGGTCAGGACTCACCCATTGCTTGGGTTGCCTGGCAAGGGGAACGAAATGCTGCCATTCGCATAGGATACCAACATGGCAGAGATCTGATGTCAGCAGAAAGCGGTGGAGGAGAGATCTTCATCAATACCAGCGGTGACATAAGCAGTTGGTCTCCTGGTAAGGGGGGTGAGGCTCAGTCACCCGAGTCTCCTCAATTTGTCCTCGAGCCAGAGGGAAGGAGCCGGGCCGCCGCCAGCCCCCGGAGCAGGCCCAGCGGCTCGCCAGCGTGGTGACCGCGTGACCCCAATTGGAGAGGGGGCGGAGCGGAGCCGCCACCCACACCCGCCAGGTGGGCAGACCCACGACCCAGTAGTACATGGGCGTGGTAGGAGGGGCAGGGCAGAGCCGCCCTTCGCGCTTGCAAGGTAAACAGACCTGTGACAGCCTGGCGGGTCAGGCCCAGTGGCCTGCCAGTGTGGTACACACGTCACCCCAACTCGAGTAGGGGCAGAGCAGATCCTTATCCCACGCCCGGATCAGGCCCTGCCGGTGTGGTGGTCACGTGACCCCAATTGGAGTGGGGGTGGAGCGGAACCGCCACCCGTGCCCGCAGGGTGAGCAGACCAGTGATCAACCTGCAGATCAGGCCCAGGGGTCCGCAGGCGTGGTAGGAGGGGCAGGGCAGATCCGCCGCCCGCGCCTTCAAGGTAGGCAGACCTACAACAGACCTGCGGATCAGGCCCAGGAGCCTGCCGGCGGGGTACAAATACCACCCTAATTGGAGTAGTGACAGAGCAGAGTCGCCTCCCTTGCCAGGAACAGACCCAGCATCCTGCAGGCGGGGTAGTCACGACACCCCAATTGGAGTAGGGGCAAAGCAGAGCCTCCACTCGTGCCCGAAAGGTGGGCAGATCTGCGACCGACCAGCAGGACAGGCCCAGTGGCCTGCTGGTACGACAGACACGTCACCCCAATTGGAGTAGGGGCAGAACAGAGCCGCCACCAGCTCCCAGAACAGGCCCAGTGACCTGCCGGCGTGGTAGCCACGACACCCCAATTGGAATAAGGAGAGAGCAGAGCCGCCGCCCGCACCTGCAGGAAAGATACGCAAGCAGTATGAAAAGACAAGGAAAGAAAGGACCACAAGCAATGCAGGTCAACGCAACTTTAGAAGAGGTAACAGCTGCAGCAGATGGAATGTCAGATAAAGAATTCAGGATATACATGCTTCAGATGATCTGGAGTATCAAGGAAGACATTAAACAGCAAAATCAGACAATGAAAGATCACTTCGACAACGAATTACGCAAACAAATCCAGGAAGCAAAGGATCAACTATACAGGGAGATAGAGGTTATAAAAAACAAGCAATCAGAAATCCTAGAAATGCAGGAAGCAATAAACCAAATTAAAAACTCAATGGAGAATACTACCAACAGAGTAGAACACTTAGAAGATAGAACATCAGACAATGAAGACAAAGTATTTCAACTGGAAAAGAACATAGACAGCTCAGCAAGACTGTTAAGAAACCATGAGCAGAACATCCAAGAAATATGGGATAACATTAAGAGACCAAACTTAAGAGTCATTGGGATACAGGAAGGTACAGAGCTCCAAACCAAAGGAATGAGCAGTCTATTCCATGAAATAATACAAGAAAACTTCCCAGACTTGAAGAATGAGACAGAATCCCAAATCCTAGAAGCCTACAGGACGCCGAATGTGCAAAATCATAAGAGATCCACACCTAGACACATTATAATGAAGATGCCCAACATACAGAATAAGGAGAGAATTTTAAAAGCTACAAGAGAAAGGAAGCAGATTACATTTAGGGGCAAGCCAATCAGGATAACAGCTGATCTTTCAACACAGACTCTGAAAGCTAGAAGATCCTGGAATAACATATTTCAAACACTGAAAGATAATGGGTTCCAACCAAGAATTGTGTATCCAGCGAAATTAAGCTTCAGGATGGAGAATGAAATTAAAACCTTCCACGATAAACAAAAGTTTAAAGAATTCGCAGCTAGAAAACCATCTCTTCAAAACATCCTAGCCAAAGTATTACAGGAAGAGGAAATGGAAAATAACAATGAAAACCAACAGTGGGAGGTAGGACAGTAAAGGGGGGGGGGAAACAATCAAAGAGGAAAACAAACAATGTTTAGTAACAGAAATAAACAAATATGGCTGGAAGAACAACCCATATCTCAATAATAACCCTAAATGTTAATGGCTTAAACTCACCAATTAAGAGACACAGGCTAGTAGAATGGATCACAAAACAAGACCCAACAATATGCTGCCTACAGGAGACGCATTTGATAGGAAAAGACATACATAGGCTGAAGGTGAAAGGTTGGGAAAAATCATATCACTCATATGGACTTCGGAAACAAGCAGGCGTGTCCATACTCATATCAAATAAAATAGATTTCAAGCCAAAGTTAATCAAAAGAGATAAAGAGGGACACTACATACTGCTTAAGGGAACCATACACCAACAAGACATAACAATCATAAATATTTATGCCCCAAACAATGGTGCAGCTATGTTCGTCAAACAAACTCTTCTCAAGTTCAAGAGTCTAATAGACCACCACACCATAATCATGGGAGACTTCAACACACCTCTCTCGCCACTGGACAGATCTTCCAAACAAAAGTTGAATAAGGAAACTATAGAACTCAATAACACTATTAATAACCTAGACCTAATTGACATATATAGAGTATACCACCCAACATCAAGCAGTTACACTTTTTTCTCAGCAGCACATGGATCCTTCTCAAAAATAGATCATATATTATGTCACAGGGCAACTCTTAGACAATATAAAGGAGTAGAGATATTACCATGCATCTTATCTGATCATAATGGAATGAAACTGAAAATCAACGATAAAAGAAGGAAGGAAAAAGCATACATCAATTGGAGAATGAACAATAGGTTACTGAATGATCAATGGGTTATAGAAGACATCAAGGAGGAAATTAAAAAATTCTTAGAGATAAATGAAAACACAGACACAACATATCGGAATCTATGGGACACATTAAAAGCAGTTCTAAGAGGAAAATTCATTGCTTGGAGTTCATTCCTTAAAAAAAGAAAAAACCAACAAATAAATGATCTCATACTTCATCTCAAAATCCTTGAAAAAGAAGAGCAAAACAACAGCAAAAGAAGTAGAAGGCAAGAAATAATTAAAATCAGAGCTGAAATTAATGAAATCGAAACAAAAGAAACAATTGAAAAAATTGACAAAACTAAAAGTTGGTTCTTTGAAAAAA